TTCAAAATAAATCGAAACCTATCGAGACAAAAATGAAAAGTTTAGGTTTTACAAATATTTTTAAAAAATTACCTACGACTAATAACTTAACTAGTCTTGATTGTGTTTATTCAAATTTCAATTTAGAAGTAGATGAATGTCATGATGTTGTAGGAACTTATTATAGTTTTCACGAAGCACTAATTTTCTCTGTTGAAAAAGAGAAAAAAGCAACTAATTTGAATAAGCAAGTTGATATTAATATTGATGATGGAATGGATGTGAATGATTCGTTACAAATTTCGACACCAGTGTTCCAAAAATCAGAAAAACTAAATAAACGAAAAAACAATTCGAAAGAAAAAAAAATGAATAAATTTTTAAAGAAAACAAATGTTTCGTCTACTATTGCTATTATTAATAATTCTTTGAAAGAAAAACAAATAAGATGTCTTCGTAATTTGAAGAGTGCTTTAAAAGTAAATTTCCCAAGCAAATTATCAAGTGAATTTAGTTTAGATGAACAACTTGGTAGTTTAGGTTTGAAAAAAGTTAATATAATTGGTGATGGTAATTGCTTTTTTCGAGCAATTTCACATCAATTGCATAGACATGAAAATGAACATCTAGGAATTCGATCTATAGCAATAGAATATCTTATATACAATATGAACGATTTATCGGATTTTATTGATGAAACATATTCAACAATAGGAAATTATATTGAACAAATGAGTTTGTATGGAACATATGCTGATCATTTAGTGATTTCAGCTACAGCAATTATCATTAATAAAAATATAATCATACATGAGTTAGGTAAAAGACCTATATTGATTCCGGGATCTGATTTTATTGATGATCAATTACATATATGTTACGATCCTCATATTTTACATTATGATAGTGTTCTTTGTATTAATGATAATTCAGCATTTCTTTCTCCCGAAGAACTTCTTATTATATTATAATTCTTCTCTCTTTATTATCTTCTAATTTTTTTTCTTTCTTTCTAATCTTGTACATTCTACTGTTTTCTCTCTTGGATTTATAAAAATTGGTTAATTTTTCTTTACTCTATTTATTCATTCTTATTCTTCCATCTTTCTTTCTTGTAATACAACTGTACTTATAACATATTGTGCCAATACTGAGAATTTGTTGTATTATCAGCTCGTCAATATTCATATTCAGAGAACGTGAGTACCTTATTTTACTTAAATCACTTAAATAAATTTTTTATTAAATTTTAAGTTTTTTTAATCTTTATCGAAATTATTATCCTATTTATAAAAAAAACCAATGACATATATCAATAATTTCCGTAAGTATAAATGAAAAAAATTGCTGCATATTTATTTAAATAGTAACGTTTTAAATGTAAAAATACTTTAGATTAACAAAGCCATTCCAAGCATATTCTATCTTGTAATCATATTTGATTAACACAAAAACATAAGGTAAGATAAAATTTGATATTTTTTATTATTGTAATGGTAACGAGTGATTTAGAATGGAATATTAGAACATTTTATAATAAAAAAATAAAACATTTAAAAAAAAGATTCACATTAGTTCGATATTATATTGTTTCTTTAAAGAAAATTTTCGTTATTCATATCTATGCCATCGTGAAACATAAAACAAATTCATTTGAATAGAAAAAAAGGTTGTAAACAATCATGGATTAGAACAATAATATTTTATTCAAAAAAAAAACTTACACAACTCCAACTCTACTAGTTGATAGTAAGATAAAATGATATTATAAATACTAGTCAATACATGATTAATATCAATTATTCTATTTATAGAATGTTCATTAAATGGAAAAGGATTCTTACGCCATTTATTTAAATTCAAAATAATTAACATAAAAACTAATCTTATCCATACGAATAATCAGAAGAAAATATTTTAAATAATAGAAAAATGAACTGAAGGTAATTTGTAAAGAAAAAAGTTACTTCAAAGTCATCTTTTTTTCTACTTAATATAGTTCTTTACGTTACGAAAAAAATTACATAAACATAGAATGTAAACAAATCACTATCCTTCTTCGCTCAATAACCGTAGTGGTTTTTTTCATTTTCGATTTATATTCTTCTCCACTTACAGTTTTTAATTCAATGTCTTAATGCGTAATCATTAAAATATTGATTATTATTTAACAATAATAATTAATAATAATATTTGATTACCTGGTATTCAATAAATGGATTTAAAAACATTTTTTTCATATTATGCTGTTAAACAATTCACACAACGATAATGCGAAACATTATGATGGTAACGAAAGAATAATATGATGATATTCAATCTGTTACGCACGTCGGCTACACCTTCAGCGAATTTAACTTCTTGCTAACGACCAATCTTCTAAAATAACTATTTTTAAATAAATTTCAATTTTGTGTGAAAAATAAACATAACAAAAAAAATATTAAAAACTTACTTTTAACACTAAGATCATGAAAAAAAGTTGACAATTTATATTGACTATTATATATATATCGGAGCCAAAATTGAGATTCAGGCAAATTTTAATTTTGACTAGACATTGTTTGCACGGAATTAGAATTCAATTTTGCCCAGGCAAAATCAGATTACGCCAGAGAGAAGTTCACACAAACAAAACAATTAAAACTGAATAGGATTATTTTTTTTAATTCTCTATCAGCTGGTGTATTTGGAATAGAGAGATTCGATTTTGAAATCGGGTTCCGAAAGGAAAAAATAAATAAAAGTGAGATGATTCATCAGTCACTTCCGATATTGGAACCCATTTTTGGGAGCTCACCATACATTCCAGAACAACAACAAATACACCATTATATAGAGAATTCAATTCTCTATCAGATGGTCTATTTCGAATACAGAGAATCGATTTTCAAAAGGGCTTCCAAAAGGCAAAAAAAAAACCAAAGTGACATGATTTATCACTCACTTCTGATATTGGAACACATTTTTTGAAACTCATTGTCTATTGGAAAACAACAACAAATACACCACTAGATAGAGAATTCAATTCTCTATTAGATGGTGTACTTGAAATAGAGAGAATCGATTTTCAAGTGGGCTTCCAAAAGCAAAACAAAATCAAAGTGACATGATTCATCAGTCACTTCCGATATTGGAAACTATTTTTGGGAGCTCACTGTACATTGCAGAACAATAAAAAATACACCATTAGATAGAGAATTCAATTCTCTATCAGATGGTACATTTGGAATAGAGAGAATCGATTTTGAAAGCGGATTCCAAAAGGAAAGAAAAAGGGAAGTGACATGACTCCTCACTCACTTCCGATATTCGAACCCATTTTTGGAAACTCATAGTCCTTTGCAAAACAACACCAAACACACCATTAGATAGAGCATTCAATTCTCTATCAGATGGTATACTTAGAATAGAGAGAATCGATTTTCAAACGGGCTTCCAAAAGGAAAAAAAAATCAAAGTGAGGTGATTCATCAGTCACTTCCAATATTGGAAACCATTTTTGGGAGCTCACCGTACATTTCAGAACAACAACAAATACACCATTAGATTGAGAATTCGATTCTCTATCAGATGGTGCATTTGGAACAGAGAGAATCGATTTTGAAAGGGGGTTCCAGAAAGAAAAAAAAATCAAAGTGACATAATTCATCAGTCGCTTCCGATATTGGAAACCATTTTTGGGAGCTCATCATCCATTACAAAACCACACCAAATACACCATTAGACAGAGAATTCAATTCTCTATGAGATGGTGTATTTGGAATAGAGAGATTCGATTTTCAAGTGGGCTTCCAAAAGGAAAAATAATCAAAGTGACATGATTCATCAGTCGCTTCCGATATTTGGAAACCATTTTTGGGAGCTCACCGTACATTGCAAAACAACAACAAGTGCACGGTTAAATAGAGAATTGAATTCTCTATCAGATGGTGTAGTTGGAATAGAGAGAATCGATTTTCAAACGGGCTTCCAAAAGGAAAAAAAAATCCAAAGTAACATGATTCATCAGTCACCTCCGATATTGGAACCTATTTTTGGGAGCTCACCGTACATTGCAGAACAACAGCAAGTGCACGATTAGATAGAGAATTGAATTCTCTATCATATGGTATACTTAGAATGGAGAAAATCGATTTTCAAACGGGCTTCCAAAAGGAAAAAAAAATCAAAGTGACATGATTCATCAGTCACTTCCGATATTGGAAACCATTTTTGGGAGCTCATCGTCCATTACAAAACCACAACAAATGCGCCATTAGATAGAGAATTCAATTCTCTATCAGATGGTCTATTTCGAATACAGAGAATCGGTTTTAAAATGGGCTTCGAAACGGAAGAAAAACCTAAGTGGCAGGATTAATCAGTGAGTTCCGATATTGGAACACATTTTTGGGAGCTCATCGTCCATTGCAAAACGACAACAAATACACCATTAGATAGAGAATTCAATTCTCTATGAGGTGGTGTATTTGAAATAAAGAAAAATTCAAATGAATTCTTTATTAAATGATTATATAGTGTGTGATTTTATTATTATTATTATTGTTCGATGTGTTTATTTGTGTAGTTGTCGAATCAGTTGAGCAATTAATTATTGACATACGTGTCCATAATCTTAACATAAATTAATAATCGCTTATCTACGAAAATTCCCTATTGATAGAAAAGTATATTAAAGTGCTTACAGCCTAAAGTAATTTCTATATATTGATAATTAGAGTATTCATTAAATTTCGCTGTAAGTTTTCGTTGTTGATTTTACAAGTAATAAATTTTCATTATGCTTTGGTATTGTATAATGTTCTTTCAATGATTATAACGTATGAATTTTAACAACAAAGAATCACCTATGGAAAAAGAAAATTATTTTTAATACTAACAAAATTGTACGAAAACTTAACGACATAGTGTTGAAAGAGACATTTTCGTGCTGCTATATATAACATTTTGATTACCCTTATAAGATTCATTTTGTACAAGATAACCTTTAAATATTATTTCTTCAACGGTAACTTTTTAAAAGTTTTAACATATTTCAATAAAAGAATGTGCTTGTATTATTTCCTGAATATACAATATTGTACATAAAATAACCATAAGCTTATAGCTTAATGAAAAAGATATTACTAAACAGAATTCTTTATTTTTAAGACCGCAACTTTTATGAATTAGTAAAAACAAATTTTCTATCTCAGAATGAATAAAATTTTCTACATATTGAAAATAAAAAAAAAAATCCAAAAAACATCAATATTCATATACATCAAATTCATTAGACAAGTTTTTATTTAGTTTCATTTTCTTTTCGTTAGTTAACTTCGTTTTGATATGTGTTGTTACCTAACAAACAAAAACAAACAAATTCGGTTGAACTCATTCATATATCTATAAGCATTATTTTAAATTATTTCTGAAAGTTTTCAAAAAATGTTAAAGAGATAATTAAATAATATATATTTTAAAATAATACGTTATTGTTACATAATATAAATAATAATTTTATTCATCATCATCAAATGGATGTAAATCAAGAAAACATTCTTGTACTCGAAATGAATCCACATTGAAATAAAAGTCATTGAATCCATAGTCAATAGTTTTTGATGCACATATTAAAGGTTTCTGTACAAGAAGATCATGAAATTTTATAGGACAAAGCCATGTGAAACCACGAGAATGGTATTTAAAACATCTATCAATATATAAATGTACATCCTGAACATTTTGTGTCAATTTGTAGTTGATGAAAGTTCGAGTCGCAATAGCTTGATGAAAACCAACAGTCTAAATATAGAAAAAATTATAAATTACAGCAAATCGACTAATAATTTTAAAATGTAAACGTGTTAAGGTGTATGTTGAGTTGAAATTGTTTTTAAACTTGTTTTATTTCAAACTCAAAATACACACTTAACAAAAAAAAAAAATAAACAAATAAGCTTAAATAAGCATAGATCCAACGAGAATTCATACATGTTTATATACATATATATATGTAGAGGATAAGAAGAAAAGGAAAAAGAAAACAGAACAATATCAAACAAGATGGCGTATATGATCTTATTTGTTAGCACAGATCATAACAGAACAAAATAGGCATCTTATATTCGTTTATGAAATGATTATTTAAAAGATTACTTTTTTGAATGACATTTTTTTCGAAGCCAAAAGAACATGATTATGATTGATTTACTGAGATTGGTTACAATTAATGAAAAAAAAAGTCTTACCGAAATTACTTTTATTCCATTGTATCCAACTTGAACAATATCAATATCAAAGGTATTTAATATATATGAAGCGTTAGAATTTACAAGTCCAAAAATGAATTGCAATCGAATTTTTTGTTGATGTTCAAAACACAAAACAAATTCGATTACCTTGCCATGCAAATTTGTTTCTTGTATAATATGAGATTTACTTCGTCGTCTAAACCGATCAATTTGAGAACGAAAATCTAACCATGAACCACCGATCCAAAAAAAATCAAGGTCTTGACCACTAGAATCAAAGGCATGTATTAATAAAGAATTCAAAACAGCACCACCTAAATAATATATTAATTTTAAAAATTTTAAATAGAATTTTTTTTTCCTATTACCGGCTAATAAAAAATACGAAAAGTTGATCCATTTCCTAATTAGGTAAAAAGAGAATCTTTTATTTAAATTTGTTTCGAATTGAATAATATTTTCAATAATAATTGGATTTTGAGAAAAATTACCAATACGTAAAATACGAAACAATTTGGTTTCTAATTTATTTAATGACCTATATACATGCATAAATGAGTGATCAAAAAACGAATAGATAGGCATTAAAGACGCATAGAAATGTGTTGAATAAGAGTGCAAACGTACAAATGTCCGAAATGAGTTAGTATTACAGTATTTTGTCATTTTTTCCATATTATATGGTAAAAAAGCGTAATAATAAAAACGAGCATATCGACGATCAGATAATTTTTGTACAAAGTAATCAGGTGAAATGAAATAAAAATCCTCTCTTGGTAACGAACAGGAAATTGGCCATTTCGCAAGTTTATACCTAAAAAAATTCAGTTAATCAAATAAAATTTTATCTGAAGTCTCAGATTTATAAAATAAATATTTTTCACGACTTTTCAATAAAAAAAAAAAACGTATCTAAAATTAATTGTTATACTATCCTAGTTGAGAAGAATGAAAAAGAAAAAATTGTATATACTTAATTTTTTAAATGTTCGTGAACAAAAAGTTTAACATAAAGCTTTCATTCATATTAAATATATTGTCTTTTATTTTATATCTATGCTCTGTTCTATATATATATATATGAACTTATATTGAAGACATTTTTGAACTACATTTTCAAACTGGATATCCTTGGAACACAGAATGAAATATTTTAATAATTTTAGGCAGACATTATCGTTGCGTTTCGAAAAAAAACTTAAAAACCGAATATGCTTCAGATGGGGAAGAAAAGAGTACTATAAATGATAGACAAAAAATAGTGTTAAACATGCTTATCAGTTATATATATATATATATATATATCATATCTACATTTGTCAAAATAGAAACGTAATAATATGAAGTTGTATATACTAATGTATACCTGATTGAGGTTTTGTTTTATGAAAAAACTAACGTGTTACTTACGGACCAAGAGTTTTCCAAAATTTACGTTCAGCAGTTAGGGCATCGTTTGTAATACATTCAGCGAAATTTAATGCATCAGAACCTTTTAAATACGAAGCTATATGATCAAGTATTATGACCGGAAGCGAATAAAATAGATTATTTTGCCGATAACTAATACTTTTGTTTGATAAAGTTGTTGAAAATTTCTTAATTTTTTTTCTTCGTCGATTTGTTAATTTTGTTTTCATTTTATAATAAAAGTATTGAACGTTAAGAAAAACTATGAGTATAAGCTAGATAATACGTAGTCTGAATAGACAAAAAATAAAAACATAAGACATTTAATTAAACGATGTTATCGTTAGCGCCTTTACCTAAATTAATTTCTACTGTGAAATATAAACTATGAACGAAATATATAATTTTAATACTAAACTTAATATAAATAGGACTTTAGTTGATTTTTATTTATTTATTTAAATACAAATATAATAATAAAAAGCCGATCTGTTTGATTCATTCAAAAATCCTATACGCAATTAATAATAAAAAAAAATAAACTAAATCAATTAGGCATTACATTCAAGTCTTATAACCTTATTAATAGAATAATTTTATTCAATCTGATAAAATTTTCATGGGTAGTATTGTAATTACAGATATTAAAATAATGTTTTTCATATCAGTAGGATTTATCATGATAAACATTAGTATTTTCTTTGTTTTCTTGACTTGGACATACAAAACATTATAAACAAAAAAAAACATTTGTGAATACGGCAGTTATCAAAAAACTTATTCAATTTTCATTTCCTTTGTTTTCTTAAATGCCTGGTATTTGGTTGAGTAAAGATTTGTTTTCGTATATGCGAGAAAAGTCGGAGCATCATTATTATTTAATTTAAAAATAATATTTTTCATTTATTAACAATCTTTTCCTAGTGATTTTAAAAGATTTTTTAATATATCAGTTGCTTCCATATCAATATTTTTCATATTAATAAGATACATTATTACGAAATGTGAAAAGACAATAAAAGATTATTATGTATAAACATCTTTCTGATTCAGGTTTTTATGTCTATATAAAATGAAAATTCACCAAAGACATCGACTGTCATGAAAGGCAGTATTTAAATATTTTGTCTTTAATATAATAATCTTAGAGAGGCATTTTGAAATAAAAAGAAAGATCTAGAATAATCTTTAATTACTACGTTAAAGCTTCTAGAACTTTGCAACATACAATAAATTTAATTATATTATATCGCTCGATTTGAAGTGAAGAAATCTCATTTATCGATAAACCTTTTCTCTGTAAATCTATTCGTATAACATAAATATCAAAGAAAACTTAGTGTTTTGTTTTAAGACATAATATCTTTAAAATATTGCTAAAATCATCAATATTCTTAAAATATGGCTCAGGTATACTGAATTGCATAATAATAAAAAAACTTAATGTTTTTTTTACACTTTTCAGCTAATTAATGATGAAACTACATCAGCTGTACCTAGTGCATCAGCTATATCAACTAATTCAACTGATTCAACTGAAATATCAAAAATATATAAAGGAACAATTGTTAAATACATTCATGGTCGTAATTATGGTTTTATAAGAATGTAAGTTTAAAAAAGTTAACTTTTATATCATGTAAAAGAACCAAAGTTATAACTTAATATCGCATGAAATAAATAAAACAATATATCTAACATATAATTTAAAACATTAAAATCTACTTTTGAGTTGTGAATATTATTAAGAAAACATAATATTTTCTTTACATATTATAGTTCAAATATTGAAAAAACAGAAAAAAAAGAAATTTTTTTTCATAAATCTCATATTATCAAAAGCAATTTTAAACCTGAGGTAAAACAAGGTGACAAATGTCAATTTGCAATCGATGAAGGTAATTAATTTAACGCTGTATTTCATAAATAATTTTGTTTAATAGGAATCAAAGGAAGTATTGCAAACAATATTATCATCAGTTATCGTCCAATACCTAAAATTGAAAAACGAATAAACAGCACCAATATAATACAAGAAAATGAATTTAAAGCAACATTATTTACTAAGACAATGTTCGTTTTGATATTACTTCATTCATGTTCTCATTATAATTTTTCTAGGTTGGAATATTTTCGCTTTGCAACGAGTACCAATACACAATAAATTTATTTAATCATCAAAAATAAGAAACAAATTTAAATGACAAATAATAACATGTTAAAATTTTTAAAAATAAAGAACGAATACAAAATAAATTATAATATAATTTACAGCATTTGAAATTGTTCTTTGTTACTTTTTCACTTTGAAGAAATTTGAATAAATAGTGTTTTAGAAAACAATATTAATGATTCGTATAATAATTCGCATTCAAGAGGATGATCATTTTAACCTTGAGATCTTTTAAATATGCCCTTACGTATTTGGTTTTAAGAAAAAAAAAATTGAATAATGAAATTATATTACTATAAGACGGTAAATCCAATTTAAATGAGAAAACAGAAATATGTAACCATTACATCTGATAGAAAAGGTAAATATACTAAATATCTAATTGATAATAATACAGACAATAAAAAAATAGCATTAATTCTATCTATCAATTCATTTATATGTAATAATGCTAAATATTAATATTATTACCTTATCTATAAATCAGCCATATATTATCGAAATGTTAACTTTGAAAACGTTTTCTTTGTGACCTAATAAAGTTTGTTTTCAAAAATTCTTTCCAATTCTATTTGTAGATTACTTTGACTTGCCACTTAAAAGTTTTGTTAATGATGATAACTATAGCCTTTAGGTTTATTTGAAAAATATATATTAAATGCAGATATAACAAAACCCAATTTTAAAATAGATGCTAAAGAACGTTTTCTATTAATAATTTGCATGTTTATCACTTCCTATCTCTTTTTATTTACTATGAATTTTAAATTTCATACTCGGAAAAATAATAATGAATATATTGAAATAGTTCATATCAGAGGAAAAAATCTTACAATACTACATGAATATTTCAATTGGAAAAACATATATCTTCTCTCTTATAGACAAATGAAAAATCATTTATTATATTAATTTTATCAAAATTTTTCGATTTGATAATTTTAAATTTACGGTTAGTTTGTATAGATGATTTTCTAGAATTTTATTTTTGTCATATCACTTTGGAATGATGAGATCTCCATAAAGAAAATTAAAAAAAAAATTGCGCGTTATTTTTCTAATTACCGTCCTACAGACGTAGAATCTAATTAATTTTTATCAGTAGTCTAAGTTCGTAACCTTGAACGTTTATTAAACAACCAATGCATTGAAAAAAATGGATGCAATTATTGGTTTTATTACAGAACTAACTGGTGAAAAACGAGGTCCATCTAAACATTATCGTCGGTATAATGTATTAACATCTGACAAAGAATTGATTGAAGGATGGGTCTTTTCAACGATGGAAATTGATCAAACATTTTCTGGTAATATACTTGTAGCAGCAGCAAAAAACAATGCAAGTGTTCGTTTACAAGGAAAACTATCAATAGACGCAAGTAATCAATCTTACTTTAAAAAAAATATTATGTATGAGATTGACCAGTCTGACTGAGTGTTTCAACTCCTCTTGTTATAGTCCTGCTTCTGTAATATTTTAGAAAAATATGATTTCTTTTACCAGTTATAATACTTGTATAATGCTGATGATCTTCTAAGTGTAAGGTGTCTATACCCTGTTTAAAACCAAAACAGTCGCCGTCTTCAAAAAAACTGCTTTGCCTTTTATGAACAGATTTTTTGAAGACGATGATTATTTTGGTTTCAAGCAAGGTATAGACTCCTTAGACATCACCGGTCATCACCATGATACGAGTTTTATAAGGGATAAAAACATCATATATTTCTCATATACTACAGAAGCAGAACGATAAAAAAAAATTTAGAATAGTCGGTCGGACTGACCACTTCCATATATGTATATTGAACATATTCAAAATATATATTTTAAAAAATTTAATTTTTATACTTTGAAGATGGCATAAAAACAATTAAAGTATCAATTAACAGCAAACTCGACAAATGTATCAATTGGGCACAAGGTACTCTTCAACGACCTGAAAGTGTTTTAACAATAAGTTCGATAAAAGACGCTCTTTTGTCAAGTATACCATCTCGACTGGAAGCTGTAGTGTTAGATGAAAACGAATTAATAACATTTATTCAAAATGATAAAGAACGTCAATACAAAATCTTTATTATTGGTGATAATAGTGGAACATCACCACTGTTAGTATATGATGAATTAATTGAAAATATTCAAATCAGTGAAAGCTTTACATTTACACAAATCAAGTGGAAAAAAATACATAACAAAGTAATTTTAACCACGAGTACAAATACCATAATAGAAAAATCAGCTAATGTAAGAAAGAAGTTTGAAATATATAAATAGAAATAATTAGATAAAATAATTTAGGTTGTTATTCCTGATTTAAGTGATATGGAAGAATCTATGTCACTAAAACAAATTGATATTGAAGAAATAAACTGTTGCTTTGAAGAAATTATTCATTCACAAAAAGAACTTACATGTTCGTCATGTAAACAAAACTTAATACCAATTACAGGTAAAGAACATTTACTCAAATGTCAAAATTGTTCTAGATTTGTCTTATCAAAATCGAACAATATTCAAACAAGTGTTGTAATTCAAATTGGTAAGACCTCTTCATTCATGTATATAAATGTCATATTGAAAAGATTTTTTTAAACAGATAATCAAAAAACCACATTTTTCACCAAAACAGATATATTGCAAAAATTTTTTCATCAAGAAAATCCTCAAACTCCGATGACTTCTGAAAATTTATCAGAATATTATTTAGTTAATGGACCATGGTTGTTAACTTTAAGTCATTTCAGACATGAATTAATCAACATCAACAAAAA